AAAATTAGGTGGCAAAGTGAAAATAATTCATTGTTTACTTTCTGAAAGAAATATCAAAATGAAAGCTGTCAGGAATGTCACAACTAGAATCCAGAGCTTCAAGATCAAAGCAGCCAGAAAAGTCCAAGTATCAAGGAATTCCAAGCCAATATTTTGCAGCTACCACTGAAAAGGAGAGAGACTGATTCAGTATTCTAAAAGGCAAAAGATAAAGACTTACAACCCAAAATAACTTACTCTGCAAAAATTAATATAATCCTACAAGGAGGAAAAATGATCTTTAATAGAATACATGATTTTCAAGAATCCCTGATTTAAAAAAAGAAAAAGGGTCAAAACTGAGTTGTAAAAATTCAAAATGCAAACACAGAGGTCAAGAAAAAAGTACAAAACCTTTGAGCACGTGGAAAGGGTGATACAGTATTTACATTATAGAATAGCACAAATATTAACCACATTTACTGATCATAATGCAATAAAATTATACTTAGTAAAGGGTCCTTGAAGAAAGAGTTAAAAATTGGAGACTAAGTAACAGAATTCCGAAAAATTGGTCAGTCAAAAAAATTATAGAAACAATAGAACATTTCATTAAAGAAAATTACAATAATGAGACAATATACCAAAACTTATGCGATGCAGCTAAAGGAATTCTTAGGTAAAAATTTGTATTTCTAAATGCTTTTATTTTAAAAAGAGAGACAAGGCAAATCAATGAATTGGGAATGCAATTAAAATACTTGAACAATAACAAATCAAAACCCCCAAACTAAACAACATGTGGGAATTCTGAAAACTAAAGAAGAGTTCAATAAAAATGCAAGCAAAAAATTTGAATTGACAAAACTAGGAACTTTTTATGTAAAAACTAATAAAGTAAATAAAAATTTATTTGGTTTTTCAAAAGAAGTAAATTATTTGTATCCAAAAGGAAAAATGAATTCACAATTGAAGATTTTAAAGGCAATTATCACAAACTATTTTATCTAATTCCTTGCTAACAGGACTGATAACTTAGAGGAAATGGATAAATACAAAAATATAAAATAGACAAGTAAAAAAAATAGTCTATTTAAGTAATGCAATATCAAAAAGTGAAATAGAATAAACTATAAATGAACTGCCAAACTCAAAACAAAACAAAATTCTAGGGCCAGATGGATTTGTAAGTGAATGCTATCAAACACTCAAAAACCAATTTCAATATTACATAAACTGTTGGCAGTAACAAAAAATGAATCACTTCTTCAATCTCATTCAATCATATGAATATGGTCTTGGTACCTAAACCAGGGAAAGAGAAAGCAGAAAAAAAGTTTTAAACTAATATCCCTAAGTGAACATTAATGTAAAAATTTTAAACAGAATATTAACCAGCAGGCTACAATATGTTAGAAAGATTATACACTATGAGCAGGTTAGGTTTGCACCTGAAATGCAATGTTGGTTCAACATAAGGTAGACTATAAATATAGTATTTTGTTAACAAAATCAATAAATGCTGAAGAACCTTTTGCCAAAATCTAATACCTTTCCACTAAAATCAAGGGTACAGCAAAGATGCCCATTATCATTACTACTATTTAACATAATCCTAGAAATGCTAGTCATAGTAATGAGAAAAGTTGAATAAATGGTAACAAGGATAAAAATGTAGGAACTTAAGGGAATCTATCCATACCAGGTCTCAAAATATACTACTAAGTAATAATCATTAATAAAATGATATGGTACTCATTAAGGAATAGAAAGGTTGATCAGTGGAATAAATTAGGTATACAGCAGTAAAATGAATGCACCAGCATATGTTCAGTAAACCCAGTGATCTCAGTTATTGGGGGAAGGACTTACTATTTGAGAGAAACTACTGGAAAAATTGGAAAACAAATGAACATAAATTAGATTACAGACCAACACCAAGATACCCCACAAATTGACACATTATTTGATGTGGTGTTAACAATATTAAATAAAGAACTAAGAGAGGAAAAATAACTTGAAGAATAACCACAGGCAAAAAACCCCCAAAAAACACATTTTACAGATGATATGACTGTCTATTTAGAGAACTCTAAAAAGTTACCTGAAATATAGGAACAATAACCTCAGCAAAGTTGTAGCGTACAAAATAAACCCACATAAGTCGCCAGTGTTCCATGTGTTACCAACAAAACCCAGCAGAAAAAGATTTTATTCAAAATAATTGCAGAGGTAAAAATTTGGGAGAGTTTGGCCATCAAGAAACACAGGAACTATATAAATACATCTATAAAACATTCTCTATGGAAATCAAGACAGACCCAATTATTGTAGCAAACAATTGCTCATGGGTGGGCTAAGCCAATATAATAAAAGCGATGATATTGCTTACATGAACTTTACTTATTCAGTGTCATACTCATCATGCTACCAAAGGATTTATTTATACATCTAGAAAGAATAGAGAAATGTATATGGAGAAAACAAAAGTTCAAGCATTTCAAAGAAAATAATGAAAAACAGTGGGAAGGGAACCAAACGGCACTAGATATCAAACTATACTACAAAGCTGTAATCGACAACACTCTTATATACAAGTTAAAAAATAGATTGATTATGGAAGAGATAAGTTATACACCACACACACAGCGGCAAACACAGGAGCATAGTATTTGTTTTACCTAGGTTACACAGCTATTTGACCCAAACTACTAGGAAAACTGGGAAGTGGCCAGGGAAACATGCATAAACAAGGTACTGAGAAGATAACACGGACAATTTTGATAACATATAATTCAATTGTTTTTGCACAAACACAACCAATCAATTTAGAATTAGAAGGGAAGAACTGGGAAAAGGAAATTTGCTCTAAGTTTTCTAATAAAGGTCTCATATCCGATATATATGCACCCCAAATAAGCTATGATATTCTTTATCCCAACTCTCACCTTCAGAGATGAATTGGGGGTTCCAGAGCAGGTTTTTATCTCCCCCCTCAGGGGTACTTCTGAGGAATTGGAGGTAATTTTTAATGCTATCAGCTTGAGCCTCCATTGGTATGTTTTCCCTCAAGATTTCGGATTGAGAAATTGTTCAGCCAGCCTTAAGTAGTCTTTAGAAAGAGGCATTAACTAAGGCGCTATAGTAGAATAGTTGGTACAAACCATACCCTTCTCCTCCCCCTCTAAAAAGAATTTTGTGACATACTGTCCCACAAGAACATACAGAGTCCAGAGTCCTTGGGTTCAAGTTTTGAAATCATACATGTAGCAAAGGGTAATTCACAGCTCCTAGTTGCTATAAGTCCTTTTATCCTATTCATGGGATACTCCAAAACTTTCTCTTAGGCATGGAGTAGTTTCTTTGCTGAGTTCTTTATGAAGTCATAAATCTATGTTCTATCTGTCCTTGGCTACCAATGCCATGATTTGATCTGGGGATGCTACTAGTACTCTGATAGGAGGATGGAAGTTGAACATCTTCTGCATTGTTTGAGCTTGCAAGGTCTCCCTCCAGCCAAGAGTAGAGAAGGGAAACCCACAGCCAAAATTGAAGCTTCTCCTTCCCTCTCTCACCCCCTACCCCGCACACATGCCAGACAATTCATTTACTATATTACCACATTCACTCCAACTTCTAGAGTTACCACTGTCTGACCATGATTCTTGTACAATCATTCCAGTTTGGTGGAATGTTCATGCTTGATCTAAGGCCTTGACATTGACATTTAGGTGGATAGGTGGACATTTAGTGGATAGCGAACAGGACCTGGAGTTAGGAAGACATGAATTCACATCCTGCTTCAGTCAGTTATTAGCTGAATGGCCCCAGGCAAGTCACTTAACCTGTGTATCTGAGTTTATTCATCTGTAAAAGGGAATATAATAGCACCTATTTCACAAGATTGTTGTGAGGCTCAAATGAAGTTTTTATGTTTGTTTTGTTACATTCTGAAAATGCTTTATAAACCTTAAAGTGTTATATAAATACTGGCTATTAAACACTTAACTATTGCAGGGTGGGGAACTTGCAGCCTCAAGGCCACATGTGGCCCTCTAGGTCTTCAAGTTCAACCCTTTGACTGAATCTGAACTTCACAGAACAAATTCCTTTAATAAAAGGTGGTGTTCTGTAGAACTTGGACTCCTTCAAAAGGTTGTACCCAAGGACACAGAAGGCCGCATGTGGCCTCAAGGCTGCAGGTTCCCCAGCCCCAATTGAGACACATGCTCATCTGATTAAAGTATCAAATCTAAAATAAGGTGGAATGATTTTGACCCCATTCTCACACACATAAGGAACTGATTCAGATACATAAAAAACAAGAGCCACTCCCCCATAGATAAATTGTTAAATGATATAGACAGGCAGTTTTCAAAAGAAGAAATCTAAATTATCATCACACACACACACACACACACACACACACACACACACACACACCCTAAAAATCGTTGTTTGTTATTTTTCAGTCATTTTTCAGTCATGTCTGACTCTTCATGACCCCACTTTGCATTTCTTGGCAAAGATACCAGAGTGGTTTGCCATTTCCTTCTCCAGCTCATTTTACAGATGAGTGAGCAACAGAGGCAAACAGGGTTACGTGACTTGCCCAGGGTCACACAGCTAGTGTCTGAGGCCAGATTTGAACTTAGAAAGATGAGTCTTCCTGACTCCAGGCCCAGCACTATCCATTGCATCACCTAGCTGCCCCTATCTAAAAATTAGAGAAATGCAAATAAAAATAACTATAAGGTGGTATACTTAATGAAATCAGGTGATGGTTTTTGACATCTTTGGCCCAAACTTGATTAACAACATTTAGATTCTAGTTTTCCTCTAAGAAGGCAACCATAGAATTCCTCCTTTCAGGTGTTTCAAATCACTTTAACTCTGCCAGGAACTTCCCTTTATTCTCTGCTTTCTTTCTCTGGCCCACAAAAGCCCAGCAATTACCATTTCAGTTATACTTCAAATGACTATTCCTAATTGGCTATTTTTCTTTTCTTTTATTGTAATAGCACCCCAGGATGCTGAGATCTGGTTTCTGGACAGAGCTTTATACTGGCATTTTCTCAGTGACTCCTTTACTACCTACTATCGCCTACTGATCACTCATCTGGGCCTCCCCCAGTGGCAGTATGCCTTCACCAGCTATGGCATTAGCCCACAGGCCAGGGTAAGAGGAAGGGGATTCAGCAACCTTAGTGTCTTCTAGTGCCTAAATCATTTCTCCCAAGACTTTACCACCCTTGATGAGGCTCCTTTGTTTTCAGTAATCTTCTTTAGTGGTCCAGTGGAAAGAGTATTAGATGAGGGAGCCAGAAGATTTGAGCTCTACTGGATTTGCTAACTTGCAGGGCAACCTTAGTCATTTCACCTCACCTCTTCTGGGATCAGTTTCCCTATAACCACAATAGCTGCTCTACTGACTCTTTGTGATACTGTGAAAAGCCAATAAAATAACACATATGAGAGCTATAGACACATATGATATTGTTGTCATCGTTAAAACTCATTAGATATCCTTAGAGGTAGGGCAAAAGCCATAATGCCCAGCCTCCTCTCAGATGTCTTGTCAGTTTAAAAAAGGGCCTCTCTTAGCCTTGATCTCAGCTATTATCAGCTGCTTTCATTTTAAGAGATGTGCCTCTAAAGCATTAAAGATGAATAGGATCTCACATCACCCCAGGGGCAATGATACTTTCCAGGTAGGTTGTAGAAGTTTCTCATTTTTCTTTCCCTCCCCCTGTTTTCCTGCTGAGCCTCCTTCCTTCTGGTGCTGCCAAGTCAGCCCAGAGGCGAGGTGTCCTCTCTGGCTTGATAACTATGCATTATCTCTACTGCTCTCCTCCGCAGCAATGGTTCAACATGTACAAACCTATCACCTACAACACAACTGTTTCTGCTGAAGACGACTGCACCTTCTTGAACAAGCTGGACCCGAGCAAGGTGTTTAAGAGCAAGAGCAAGACCTTAGTCTCTAAAAAACGGTCATCTCTACAGAACTCAAGCTCCCAGAGAGGTTCATCAGCTTCTCCAGTCATCAAGCCATCGCCCCTCCCTGGAAACCCCATCCGGAAATAAGCATTCTCCACCCCCACCCCCAGGTTCTCCAGGCCTTATGACTCCCCAAGAATGAATGCATGACCCCAGAACCAAGATGGTGTTGGTGGTGTGGCTCTCACTGGCTGTGAAAAGATCAAGAGATTTGAGCAAAATCAAAAGGATTTTTTCATCAGTACTGGAGTTCACGCTAAGAATCAGAGACTGGGTTCTATCCCTAGGCCTCTGAGTTTACAATACAGCAAGTGGAATCATTACATTGTTCCTGCCACCTAAACTCAATTTTGGTTCTTGTTGGGCAGGAGGAAACATCTTTTGAAACCCAGCATTTCCCCTTCACTCTCCATGCCCCATCATACACACACAGGACCACGTACTGCCTTAAACCAGCAAGCAATAAAGTACACTCCGAGTCAGAGTATCCCCTGACAGTTAAGATCCTGTCGTCAGGTACTGATGATGCCTTGAGTGTCTTAATGTTCTCCTTCCATGAAAAACCTACTGTAAGGACATTTGTGCTTTCCTTGTAGCAATTACCTCCAAAACATCTAATTTTACTCTTTGCTGCTTTGTTTGCCTTCCAGCTGTTTTGTCAAATTTCTCTCCAGTTGCCAATGTTATATTTTCTTCTGAGCTTTTTAAAGAGGAGGCAGCACTGCTATACTTTCTTTTAGTGGCTGCCTTAAATCCACCTCAGACTATGTTTTGTACGACTACATGTGAGAAATGATGATGAAAACAGTAATTATTGATTACTGTGTCACTGATGATATACCATATAAGAATGTTGAGTTGCCAAAGCTACAAACTAGTACCATCACATCTTTAGTATTGTGTGTTCTTTCCCCTAAGTTTGTTAAGTCAACAAAACCATTCAAATGAACAAACAAGAATTAAAAAAAATAAGTGTGAGTAAAACCACAAAACTCCATTATTTACATCCGACTATAAAATGCTTAATTTTTTTTTTTGTGGTGGTGGTGGGGGGAACTCCCTGGTGCTGATTACAATCTATACCTGATAGTCTTTCAGCATTGTTGAAGGCACAAAGAAGTTAGGTGATTTGTTTGTAGTTAAAGTGCAATTAAGTGTTAGAACTGGGACTTGAACACATGACTTCCTAACTCTAAGTCTAGCGATGTATCGCATTGCCTCTTCAAAAGTATAGTTAACAAAAATGAACTATTTGCTTCTGTGTTGCCTTCTGAACCCTTTCTCCAGTGTATTTCTTCTGAATTGCACTGTTTTGTATTTAAAACAAACCGGTGATAGTTATGATTTACATTGTTCAATTCCGCTTTCTTTGTTCTGTGTCGTTTTATAAAAATCTTTCCATATTTCTTTATTCTTTATGTGTTGTGTCAAAAGCTCCATCTTGACACAAAGGAGCTGAGGTCTACCTACTTCTCTGGCTTATTGCTCTCACTTAGATAATGTGTAAACTTAAACATCAGACACCAAGATGTAGTCCCCACCAACACCCTGTTCACACATTAAAGCTCACAGAGCTCAAAAAATGAACAGGTTTTACTACAGGCTAAAAGAAACAAACAGAACTATCAAAACCCAAAGAAAGCAACAGTACTCACCAATGAGGGATGTTTACTGAGGCTTGTAAAGTCCCAAAACTTCCCTCAGTAGGGCTGTAGGAGGAGGCACCCAGGGATTGTCCCTCCATATCAGTGCTTTCCCCCAAGCACCTCTGGTCATGTAGCCTTGCCCTTGCTCCAATTCCTGTCTCCAGTGGTTCTCAGCAGATACTACCTTTATTATGTCTCCTTTTTCCATCTTGTGTTATTTTGCTCATAACCCATACCCCTTACAAACACTAGCAACTCTTAGCAGGGACTGGGTTTTCGTTTTTGTTTTTTGTTTTTTTTTTCATTCCCAAGAGGTCAGTTCCCCAACTCCAGAATCTTAGATAGCCAATGCTATAACTAAAAAATGTAGCCAGGGTTGCTGGTACTTCTGAGCCACCTTATGTTCTGTGGTTCTTGGAGGCCTTATGAGGGATGTAGGGGAACCGACTTGCTTTCACACCTTACAAACAAGGTTTTCTACCCAATTCTGTGTTGACAATTTGATGAACTACCTCCAGCTGGGAAGAACTCTTTTCCTCTGTGCCTCCATTAGGTCAGGATCTCTCTACAATTGTCTTTCATTCTGTCGTGATTGGTCCTGGGGCAGCTGAGTTAAATTATTCAAATTGCTGAAACATCAGTAATTTGAGAGGCAATGCGAGCTGTGTACCTCCTCAGGCATTGTTAGGCCCCATTACATTCATATTTCTTATAGCTCATTAATATTCAATAACAATGTTGCTATATGGATATATGTAAATATTTATAGATACATCTTTTCCTTCCTTTTCAATGTTATCCTTAGGGATCACTGGATCAAATGGTATAAACACGTCTGCAGCTTTCTTGTATAATATATTCCTTTCTGAAAAGATCACATAAATTTTCCACTCCACCTGAAATGTAATAATGTGCTTGTCTCTCCACATTCTTATTAGCATTGAATTTTGCCACTTTTAATTAACTTCACCAAAGAAATGGACGTTAGTCAATATCTCAGTTATTTTCCTTTAAATTTATCCAATTATTAGAAATTTTGAGCAATTTTCAATTGGCAATTGTGTTTCTTCTTTTAAGAACTGCCTGTTCATATCCTTTGACCTACTTGTCCAAGAAATAGATCTTAGTCTTAATAAATTTGAGTTAATTCCTTATAGTTTTGGATGTCAGAGTTTTCTCAGAAGTGATTAGTAAATGATTTCCCCTCCAATCTATTGCTTTCCTCCTTATTTTTGCATGTGTTGTTCTTTGTTGTGCAAAAGCTATGTTTATATCATCAAATTTGTCTATTTTGTCTCCATGCTGTAATACTCAAAGAGTCAATTATCTATGGTTTCAGTGATGTGAATGCTCTCTCTGCCAATGCAGACTGGATAGACAGTATTCAAGAGCTGCTGTGGCCTTTGCCTTCTATAATTTACTTTATTTGTTGACCAGATAAGGATTTTCCTCCTACACAACTGTAATAGATATATCATTCTGTTTTCTTCTTATTTTTTCTATGATTTTTAAAATAATTAGATCATTGACCTAGTTGGAATTTATTGTATAATAGCTTATTCATAGCTTCAAGGAAGAGAAACAGTTCTTACTTTAGGAATATACCTAGCTGCAATTTATTGATAATAAAAGATGCAGTTAGGGTGTGTGCACTTGTGTGACATAGCCACTCTGGGTCCTAACCTTTTGTTTTGATCCTGGGATTTACTAAGATCTCACATTTGAGTTTCAGCCAGGGGCTGACTAGCTCTGCCTCCATTTATGTGTCTTTAGACTTGAGAGAAAACAAGCTCTTCTGGCATGTTTGATGAGTGCAGAGATCATGAGTAGGCCAGATAAGAGTGCTCACCTGAGTTGGCCTAATTTCTCTGTTGCTTAATGGTTGTAAATAACTCTTATTTTTGAGCTGTTTTCCCTTCTTTCTAGGAGCAGGGGGAATGTGCTAAACATGTCTCATTCCACAGCTTGACTGGTAACACACAGAGATGGAGCCACTAAGGAACCTTTCAGCAATATTTCATCTTTTCTTATATAAGCTACCCATAGCTACAAGTGATAAGCACAAGACTTCACTAAAAATGAGAAATACTAACAAAATCCAAAACAAGGACATAGAAAATATTTGGTGGTTATACAGAAAGAATAATTTTCCTTGCCACATCGAAGGAACCATTCCCATCAGAATGAGTGAGAATCTAGCCTAGATACATTGCTATAATTTTTTTTAACACTGTTCCAAGTTGCACATAGGTGGGTGGAGCAATTTTTTAGGATGAATTAAAGTCAGTCTCGTCACAGGAAAGTTAATTGAAATCCAGCCACTTAGTCTTTTCTCCTTCTGTGTTGCAGACATTAATGGGAATTTCCCCTTAGGAGGTCCAGTCCAAAGAAACATAGGGCCAAATATATTGTCACTTTGGGAAGGTCACATTTGTTTGAACCACAATAAATTATATGGTTGTGGCCCCATGGAGGAAACACCAAAAGAAAGTGGTTTTTCCCCAAGTATCACACCCCCTAATTTCTCTGCATTTTTCTTTATCTCCATTTATAGTTCCAAGTGGGTCTCTTAGAAGTATGCAACCCTTGGATGTCTTAGGGTTGCATTCCATGGATACCAGGTCCCATTGCAAATCCATGCCCACAGTTTCTCTCTGGGTAACACACAGGAGTACAACTGGTCACAGCTGCTGTGCTTAAGATAAGAATGGTTATAGCCTATTGCTATCTCTGAGGGACCTGCCAGCATTTAGATTCAGAACACAGGGAAATCATCAAATCTTCATGCATTTAAAAAATGTTTCAATGGGCTGTTATTTTTGCTATTGCTGACCTCCCCGGTTCCTGCCTTTCTCCCCCACCCCCAGCTTAAAATCCAGCAAAAGAAAGAGAAAAAACCTTTATGACAAAGAAACATAGTCAAGCAAAGTCTATACAGTGGCTAAGTCCACAAATGCATGTTTCAGCAACTTGTATCCATCACCTCTTTGTCAGGTGACGCATAACATCCTAAGTCCTCTGGGGATATGGTTGGTCTCTGCATTGATCAGAGTCCATAAGTCTTTCCAAATTCTCCTTTACAATGTTGTTGTCCTTGTGTGGCTGGTTCTCCTGGTTCTGTACATTTCACTCCGTATCACTCCATACTATCCAGGATTCTCTGAAATCATCTGTTTTGTCAGAGTGTGTGGCACAAAGTTAACAAACATTTATTCTTATTATGCAATAATATGCCATTATATACTACTATTTATTCAGCTTTTCTCAATGTCTAAGAGGCAAGCTAAGGCACTCCCTTAGATTTTTATTCTTTGCTTTTCTTTGTTTTTTCCCCCTTTTAATCTCTGCTTCAGTATCAGGAAGTTTGTTTTCCTTGTGACTCTTCCCTCCCTTGGTGTTACTAGCCTTAACCCTCCTTTTGTTGTTCAGTTGTTTTTCAGTTGTGTCTGACTCTTTGTGACTCCATTTGGGGTTTTCCTGGCAAAGATACTGGAGTGGTTGGCCATTTCCTTCTCCAGCTCATTTTACATAGGAGGAAACTGAGGCAAACAGGGTTAAGTTACTTGCCCAGGGTCACACAGCTAGTAAGTGTCTGAGGCTGGATTTAAACTCAGAAAGATGAATCTTCCTGACTTCAGGTTCAGTACTCTAACTACTATGTCACCTAGCTTCCCAGGCTTAACCCTTCTCTCACCCCCAAAACATACTAACATACCTGCTTGTTTTCTTGAGTTCAATATATTTAGACATAACTGAGGGGTGTGTGTGTGTGTGTGTGTGCGTGTGTGTGTGTGTGTGTGTGTATTCAACTTTCCATTGTCCTCCTCAGGTAAAAGTCAGATTCATCCAACCTCTTTTTTTTTTAATATAAATTTATTTATTTTTAGTTTTCAACATTCCCTTCCACAAGTTTTTGACTTCCAAATTTTCACCCCATCTCACCCCTTCCCCCCACCCCAAGATGGCATGCATTCTGAATATCCCTTCCCCTAGTCTGTCCTCTCTTCTATCTCTTCCCCCCTTCTCTTATCCCCTTCCCCTTGTATTTTCCTGTAGGGCAAGATAGACTTCTGTTCCCCATTTCCTGTATTTCTTATTTCCCAGTAGCATGTGAAAACATTTTTTTAAACATATGTTTTTAAAACTTTAGGTTTCAAATTTTATCTCTTCCTCCCTCCCCACCCACCCTCATTGAAAAGGCAAAGAACTCAATATAGGTTGTACATGTGCAGTTATGCAAAACACTTCCATAGTAGACATGTTTTGAAAAACTAACTCTATTTCCCTTAATCCTATCCTGCTCCCCCCATTTATTCTATTCTTTCTTTTGACCCTGTCCTCCTCAGAACTATTTGCTTCTGATTACCACCTTTCCCAATCTGCCCTCCTCTCTATCATCCCCCTGCTCTCTTGTCCCCTTCTCCCCCTATTTTCCTGTAGGGTAAGACAGATTTCCATACCCAATTGAATGTGTATGTTATTCCCTCCTTAAGCCAAATCCTATGAGAATAAGATTCACTCATTCCCTCTCACCTTCCCCCGTTTCCCCTCCACTGTAAGAGACTTTTCTCTGTTTTTTTTTTGTGAGATAATTTACCCCATTCTACCTCTCCCTTCCTTCTTCTCCAAGTATGATCCTCCTCTCTCATCCCTTCATTTTATTCTCCAGATATGACCCCTTAATCTTCAACTCACCCTGTGCCCTCTATCTATCTATCTATATATACATACATATAATTTTTTTCCTCCAACTACCCTAATACTGACAAAGGTCTCATGAGTTATAAATATCATCTTTCCATGCAGGAATGTAAACAGTTCAATCTTAATAAGTCTCTTATGATTTCTCTTTCCTGTTTACCTCTTCATGTTCCACTGGAGTCCTGTATTTGAAAGTCAAATTTTCTATTCAGCTCTGGTCTTTTCATCAGGAATGCTTGAAAGTCCTCTATTTCACTGAATGACCATTTTTCCCCTGAAGGATTATACTCAGTTTTGCTGGGTAGGTGATTCTTGGTTGTAATCCTATCTCCTTTGCCCTCTGGAATATTATATTCCATGCCCTGCAGTCCTTTAATGTAGAAGCTGCTAAATCTTGTGTTATCCTGATTGTGTTTCCACAGTACTTGAATTGTTTCCTTCTGGCAGCTTGTAATATTTTCTCCTTGACCTGGGAACTCTGGAATTTGGCTACAATATTCCTAGGGGTTTTCCTTTGGGGATCTCTTTCAGGAGGAGATCTGTGGATTCTTTCAATTTCTATTTTGCCCTCTGGTTCTAATATATCAGGGCAGTTTTCCTTGATAATTTCTTGAAAGATGATGTCTAGGCTCTTTTTTGATCATGGCTTTCAGATAGTCCAATAATTTTTAAATTCTCTCTCCTGGATCTATTTTCCAGGTCAGTTGTTTTCCAATGAGATATTTCACATTGTTTTCTAATTTTTCATTCTTTTGGATTTGTTTTACAGTGTCTTGATTTCTCATAAAGTCACTGTCTTCCAATTGCTCTATTCTAATTTTTAAGGAAGTATTTTCTTCAGTAATCTTTTGGACTTCCTTTTCCATTTGGCCAATTTTTCTTTTTAGGCATTTTTCTCCTCATTGGCTTTTTGGACCTCTTTTGCCATTTGGGTTAGGCTATTTTTTAAGGTGTTATTTTCTTCAGTATTTTTTTGGGTCTCCTTTAGCAAGCTGTTGACTTGTTTTTCATGCTTTTCTTGCATCACTCTCATTTCTCTTCCCAGTTTTTCCTCTGCTTCTTTTACTTGCTTCTCAAAATCCCTCTTGAGCTCTTCCAAGGCCTGGGACTGATTCATATTTTTCTTGGAGGCTTTGGATGTAGGAGCTTTGACTTTGTTGTCTTCTTCTGGTTGTATATTTTGATCTTCTTTTTCACCAAAGTAAGATAATGTAGCTAGACTCTTTTTATGCTGCTTGCTCATGATCCCGGCCAATTATTGAGTTTTAAACTCTTTGTTGAGGTACGAATCTGCTTCCAATGTGGAGAATGTACTGTCCCAAGCTTCGGGGGTTTGTGTAGCCGTTTTCAGAGATACTTGTAGGGACCTGTAAATTTTCAGTTCTTCCAAGGTGGTATGATAAGGGGCGATGTGTTTACTCCTTTCCTGGCCCGTGACCACAAGTGTTCCTTTCTGTCCCGTAACTGTGAGGAGGGGCTCCTCTCCACGATCACTACAAGCTCCA